ATCCTGCGTTTTTGGATCATGGATCGAGCCAAGTATCACAACTTCTCCCATCCTGTATATTGTCCTTTTCATTCTGTGTTGGAATATAAATTTATTAGTAGGTGAGATTTTTATGAAAAAGGTTCTTTATATTCATAGCATAGGAGAAACAACTCTTTTTTTTTTTTTTTTTTTTTTTTTTTTTTTTCCTATATTGGATTTATATGTTTATTTTGATCGGAATATTCAAATGATTTTCATCGAATGACTATTCATTTATTGTATTTTCATGTAAATAGGGGCAAGAAAGTTCTATGGAAAAATGGCGATTCCATTCGATGTTGTTTAATGGGGAGTTAGAATACAGGTGTAGGCTAAGTAAATCAATGGACAGCCTCGGTCCTTTTGAAAATACCAGTGTAAGTGAAGATCCAATTATAAATGATATGGATAAAGACATTTTAAATTGTAATGACAAGTCTAATTACAGTAATGTTGATCATTTAGTCAGCGACAGATACATTCGGAATTTCATATCTGCTGACACTTTTTTCGTTAGGGATAGTAATAGGGACAGCTATTCCATATATTTTGATATTGAAAATAAAAATTTTGAGATTGACAACGACCGTTCTTTTCTAAGTGAACTAAAAAGTTCTTTTTATAGTTACCAGACTTCTAGTTATATAAATAATGCACCTAAAAGTAACGATACTCGCCACGATCGTTACGTGTATGATACTAATTCTCATTATATTTGGAATAATCACATTAATAGTTGCATTGACAGTTATCTTCGTTCTCAAATTTGTATTGATAGTTATATTTTAAGCAATAGTGACAATTACAGTGACAGCTACATTTATAGTTACATTTGTAGCGAAAGCGTAAATAGTAGTAAAAGCGAGAGTTCCAGTATAAAAACTAGCACAGATGGTAGTGATTTTACTATAAGTTCTAATAATTTAAATGTAACTCAAAAATACAGGCATTTGTGGATTCAATGCGAAAATTGTTATGGATTAAATTATAAAAAATTTTTAAAATTAAAAATGAATATTTGTGAACAGTGTGGATGTCATTTGAAAATGAGTAGTTTCGATAGAATCGAACTTTCGATTGATCCCGGTACTTGGGATCCTATGAACGAAGACATGGTCTCTCTGGATCCCATTGAATTTCATTCGGAGGAGGAACCTTATAAAAATCGTATTGATTCTTATCAAAAAAATACAGGATTAACTGAGGCCGTTCAAACAGGCACAGGCCAACTAAATGGTATTCCCGTAGCAATTGGAGTTATGGATTTTCAGTTTATGGGGGGTAGTATGGGATCTGTAGTGGGCGAAAAAATCACACGTTTGGCCGAGTATGCTACCAATCAATTTTTACCTCTTATTATAGTGTGTGCTTCCGGAGGAGCACGCATGCAAGAAGGAAGTTTGAGCTTGATGCAAATGGCTAAAATATCTTCTGCTTTATATGATTATCAATCAAATAAAAAGTTATTTTATGTATCAATCCTTACATCCCCTACCACAGGTGGGGTGACGGCCAGTTTTGGTATGTTGGGAGATATCATTATTGCCGAACCCAATGCTTACATTGCATTTGCGGGTAAAAGAGTAATTGAACAAACATTGAATAAGACAGTACCTGAGGATTCACAAGTGGCTGAATATTTATTCCATAAGGGCTTATTCGATCCAATCGTACCACGTAATCCTTTAAAGGGCGTTCTGGGTGAGTTATTTCGGCTACATGCTTTCTTTCCTTTGAATCAAAATTAGATCAAGTAGAGCCTTAGAGTCTTAATTTAATAAGAGTATTAATTTATTAAAACTTAATAAAATTTTTTATGTGTGGTGATCAAGTAGTTATTTAATTTATAGGAATCAAAGTAAAAATACGAAGAATGGATTTTTTCTTTGGTAACATAAGATTTAATTGTAGAAAGAATCATCCAGATCATCTTTTTATCGATATTCCTGGTTACTAACCAGGAAATCCCTATTAAACAAAATAAAAGAGTGAATTCTTTCTTCCGTGAAATTGGTTAACAGGGTCTTGCATCTTTCTATATCTCCCCAAAATCACCCCCCCCCCCCCCCCACTAAAACCTTTTGTTGGGTCGTATTATTATAATGAATTCTTTGAGAATTTGTAATAAATCCTTTCTTTAGTAAATTTTATAAAATTATTAAATTTATAAGACAAGAACAAGATAATAACTAATAATACGAATAATATAAAGGGTGGATTATCATACATATATTTCATGTAGAAACATGTAGAAAGATTTATAGGTCCATTTATTTACATATTTATTGGATTTTATTAATTAATATATATTTATTAAAACATATACTTATATACTCCCTATTAAGTATATATACTCACTTAGGTATACTTAGTATAATATAACAATTATATATGAATTATAATATATCTTTATAACAATATAAGGATAAGGTTAAAATATTAATATAAAACAATAAATATAACAATAAATAACAGGTACAAATATTAAATCGAGGTACCCATTCTATGATAACTCTCAACAGCTTCCCCTCAATTTTTGTGCCTTTAGTGGGCTTAGTATTTCCGGCAATTGCAATGGCTTCTTTATCTCTTTATGTTCAAAAAAACAAGATTTTTTAGATACAATAAGGACGAATCTTTTTTTTTCAAGACTTACTTGGATCATAACACGGATATCTATTTAGTAGAATATGGTATAACATGTGGCTTCCTTCGGGCATAAGCTCTTATGTATGTATAAACATGATATTATGGGTAAATGAATTATAACTATTTTCAAATAGATCGGGATCGGGGAGAATTTCTGAAATGTAAAGTCAATATATCTATATGTATTCGGAAATCATGTGAAAGGGATGTTACTATTTTAGTTTGGATCTAAGAAATTCGATGAATTACCCCTAAACGTTCACATCATAATAGTGCTGGTTGATGAGAGTTACTTCGGAAACAAAAAAAGTAAAATAAAATTTATTTTTGTTATTCTCCCAATTCCAATAAAATGCAACTAGGTCTAGTTATAGTATGAGTTGGCGATCAGAACGTATATGGATAGAACTTATAGCGGGGTCTCGAAAAACAAGTAATTTCTGCTGGGCCTTTATTCTTTTTTTAGGTTCATTAGGGTTTTTATTGGTTGGAACGTCCAGTTATTTTGGTAGGAATTTTATATCTTTATTTCCTTCTCAGCAAATAATTTTTTTTCCACAAGGGATCGTGATGTCTTTCTATGGGATCGCAGGTCTTTTTATTAGCTCTTATTTGTGGTGCACAATTTCGTGGAATGTAGGTAGTGGTTATGATCGATTCGATATAAAAGAGGGCGTAGTGTGTATTTTTCGTTGGGGATTTCCTGGAAAAAATCGTCGCATATTCCTCCGATTCCTTATGAAAGACATTCAGTCCATCAGAATAGAAATTAAAGAAGGTATTTATGCTCGTCGTGTCCTTTATATGGAAATCAAAGGCCAGGGGGCCATTCCCTTGACTCGTACTGATGAGAATTTGACTCCACGAGAAATTGAGCAAAAAGCTGCTGAATTGGCCTATTTCTTGCGTGTACCAATTGAAGTATTTTGAAAAAAGGAACTGAAGAATGAATACTTTGCAAGAGAGAAAAAACTCAAGAATCCTCGTTTTTTTATATAGCATAACTTGACTGAAGTTTCTTCAGAACGCTTATTCGAGCCAAAGCAAACGTTACGAAATAATTCTAAAACAAAATAGTTTGTGTCCACAATTTTTTTTATGCGTATGTAAACCCACTTAACTCAATTCAGTAACAAATCTAAATACTAGATTCATCATATATTAAAACAAAACATTTCATAATAAATCATAATATAATAAAGTAAAGAATTTTTTTTTTTAGAAATATTTGATATTTTGATAGAACGGGAGTTCTTTCGTCTCGCAATCCGACTACTATTAATTTGAAGTGGGCTTTTTCTTATTCTATTTCTGTATTCTTTCTAAATTCAAGGACTAACCACTGTACTGAATCACAAAAAAAAAATCGGAAATAGATTCATGGGCTCGATAACTTGTAATAGAACTTATGCTTGATAGAAATATTAGTATCGTATAGAGTCGACGAACGAGGTGCGTTCAGTAAAAATTAAAAAATTCACAGACGAAAAAATGGCAAAAAAGAAAGTATTAATTTCCCTTCTATATCTTGCATCTATAGTATTTTTGCCTTGGTGGATCTCTCTCTCATTTAATAAAAGTCTGGAATCTTGGGTTACTAATTGGTGGAATACTAGGCAATCCGAAATCTTTTTGAATGATATTCAAGAAAAGAGTATTCTAAAAAAATTCATAGACTTAGAGGAACTCCTACGTTTGGACGAAATGTTAAAGGAATACCCGGAAGCACATTTACAAAAGCCTCGCATCGAAATCTACAAAGAAACGATCCGATTGATCAAGATGCACAATGAGGATCGCACGCATACAATTTTACACTTCTCGACAAATATAATATGTTTCGTTATTCTAAGTGGTTATTCTATTATAGGTAATGAAGAACTTGTTATTCTTAACTCTTGGGTTCAAGAATTCCTATATAACTTAAGCGACACAATAAAAGCTTTTTCTATTCTTTTATTAACTGATTTATGTATAGGATTCCATTCGCCCCACGGTTGGGAACTAATGATTGGCTCTGTCTACAAAGATTTTGGATTTGCTCATAATGATCAAATTATATCCGGTCTTGTTTCTACTTTTCCAGTCATTTTAGATACAATTTTTAAATATTGGATCTTTCGTTATTTAAATCGTGTATCTCCTTCACTTGTAGTGATTTATCATTCAATGAATGACTGAAAAATGATCGAACGATCCAATTATAATATTTGTTACTTTGTGGATAAGCAAAACATTCAAAATTGTACTTATTCTTTCTACCCATCCAAGGGATTCCTCCAATATTCCAGTAAAATTATTTATATTTAAGTAAATAGCAAAATTATAGATAGGGAACTATACTAGCGACCTGCCTAATTTTATTGTATAAATTTTCGGGATCAATGATTGGACCATGCAAACTAAAAATACCTTTTCTTGGATAAAGAAAGAGATTACTCGATACATTTCCGTATCGCTCATGATATATAATAACTCAGGCACCCCTTTCAAATGCATATCCCATTTTTGCACAGCAGGGTTATGAAAATCCACGAGAAGCGACTGGCCGTATTGTATGTGCCAATTGCCATTTAGCTAATAAACCCGTGGATATCGAGGTTCCACAAGCGGTACTTCCTGATACTGTATTTGAAGCAGTTGTTCGAATTCCTTATGATCTGCAACTGAAACAAGTTCTTGCTAATGGTAAAAAAGGAGCTTTGAATGTAGGGGCTGTTCTTATTTTACCCGAGGGGTTTGAATTAGCCCCTCCCGATCGTATTTTGCCCGAGATTAAAGAAAAGATAGGAAATCTGTCTTTTCAGAGCTATCGCCCCACTAAAAAAAATATTCTTGTGATAGGTCCTGTTCCTGGTCAGAAATATAGTGAAATCACCTTTCCTATTCTTTCCCCGGACCCCGCTACTAAGAAAGATGTTCACTTCTTAAAATATCCCATATACGTAGGCGGGAACAGGGGAAGGGGTCAGATTTATCCCGACGGGAGCAAGAGTAACAATAATGTTTATAATGCTACAGCAGCAGGTATAGTAAGCAAAATCATACGAAAAGAAAAAGGGGGGTACGAAATAACCATAGCGGGTGCATCGGATGGACGTCAAGTGGTTGATATTATCCCTCCAGGACCGGAACTTCTTGTTTCAGAGGGGGAAATCCATCCAACTTGATCAACCATTAACGAGTAATCCTAATGTGGGTGGATTTGGTCAGGGGGATGCGGAAATAGTACTTCAAGATCCATTACGTGTCCAAGGTCTTTTGCTATTCTTGGCATCTGTTATTTTGGCACAAATCTTTTTGGTTCTTAAAAAGAAACAGTTTGAGAAGGTTCAATTGTCCGAAATGAATTTCTAGATCCGCGGATTTATCAACATCAAGCTCTAAAAATAAACAAATTTTTGTTGGCAATTATGTTATGTAATTATGTATAATCAAAAAATTTTTGCTTGTTTATATTCTTTCTTCTACCGGATTTCGGGAATTACTTATACCGCATTACTGGTCATAGTATATTGTGAAGAAGACTATTTGATTTTACTTAACTCTTCTTTATTTATTTGTTTTTTCAATCCAAATTCAAACGGTATGATATAGAACGAATCAATAGTTTTATATTTGAATAGAATCAAAACAAAAGATAAATAAGCGGAGAATATAAACCAAAGTATAAATGAGAGGAACAAAGGATTTTAGGGGGGATTGTTCGTCTACTAGTCCTTGACACAAGAAACGGAATTTTCCACAACCCTTTCTTGTGTCGAATTAATAATGATTCTCGATCCCGTTCGTAAAAAATTTCTATTTTTAGTTTAAATTTTTTATAGGTTTATCATAATCTTTTTTAGATTTATTACGTAAATAGTGGTAGTGGACAAACAAAAATAAATATAGGTAAGTTTATTGAGCAAATAGAACTTCTTCAATTTCAAAAAAAAAAATTTAACTTTTATTAGATTAAATAGAGTAAGGTTCTATGCTATTAGTATAGAAAGGGTTTGCATGATATCTGATCGATAGAAATATATAGTATATATAATTGTGAGTCATCCAAAAAGAGTAAATAGAGTGATTCCTTCTTCGTTTTAAGTATTGACAGATACTATTGAGTAACAGATGTTCTGAATCCCTTAACGAAGTTAATTTTTCAAAAACATTATCAGAAAAAGTGGAGGTTTTTGAAACATCTATAAAAAAAATATTATGATTATTAAGAACTCAACGGGACCTACCCCCTCTTTCCTTGTCTGATTCGAGGGGGATCCCGTTGAGTTCTTATGCTTTCATGTCTACAACTCAGTTCATCCGATTATTACAGGGATGAACCTAATCCAGAATAGGAACCATAAAAGAAAATACCGATTAAACCGATCACAAGAATACCCGCTACAGTACCTATTATCCAAAGAGGAATCCTTCCAGTAGTATCGGCCATTTGTCCTACTTTCCTCCACATTTTATCAAGTGGTCATGCTCGAGACATAAACAGCCATAGATAATTATGAGATGATATCTTTCCGAATGGGATAAGAGAATTCTTATTTTCTTTTTTTTTTTTTTTAAAGAAATAATTGGAAAATAAAACAGCAAGTACAAAAATGAGTAATAACCCCCAGTAGAGACTGGTACGATTCAATTCAACACTTTGTTCGTTCGGGTTTGATTGTGTCGTAGCTCTATGATTCGGATTAGGTTTATCGTTGGATGAACTGCATTGCTGATATTGACCCTAAAAAAAAAACGGTAGGTACAGCTAGTCCGTGAACAGCCAACCATCGCACTGTAAAAATTGGGATAGGTTCTATCTATAGTCATTGGGGCCTCCTAAAAAGATCTACTAAATTCATCGAGTTGTTCCAAAGGATCAAAACGGCCAGTTATTAATGGAATTCCTTGTCGGCTTTCTGTAAAATACTCGTTTGGACGAGGGCTTCCAAATACATCGTAGCTAAACCCGTGCTGACGAATAACCAACCCGCAATAAATAAGGAAGGTATAGTAATGCTATGAATGACCCAGTATCGAATACTGGTAATAATATCAGCAAAAGAACGTTCTCCTGTGCTTCCAGACATGTTGAGCTCCGCATATTCTTGTACAGTCAGGGGGGGGGGGGTCGATTCCGTAAAAGATGAAATCAGTAAATGGAAATTAACTGAAATAAAATCTTTGTGAGATCGTCAATATTGTACCAAGGGTGTCTTTAGATACCGAAATCAGTATAGCTATCCTTCTTCTGACACAGCAATGCAATTTCACAATCAGTATCGAAATGAAGTGTTAGATATTTTCTTTCTTCTTTTCTTGTTTGCTTGTCGATGTAGAATTTTGTACCATTTAATAGAAAATTCCTCAAATTCCTGTAGTATAAGGGTTTCCTTCATTATTGACTTCGGACTAGAAACTGAAGATCAGGTAAAATGTGAATCCGACGGGTTGGTTTCCAATAATTTATGAAGGAGATTGTCATATTCTCACGATTCAATTTAGATGTTACATCTAAAAATATCCTTTTGTGGTGGTGTATAAGTTTTTGTTGGAATCCTTTTTTTTAGGAATCGGTTAGCCGCCCAGTAACAAGTAACAATAGTAGTTCAATAAAAGAAAGAGAACAACGAATAAATAAAAATAATCAATATTCGTGATGCACGCATTATTGTATTAGATATTAGACCCAAACAAAGGAAAAGGGGGGTCCTTCTTGACCTAATTACAAGGTGGGCTTTCTAATATGGAAAGAAAAATGTAAAACCTAGTTCGATTGATCTTATCATGCGATACTTTTCTTTTCAATCGCAAGATTATGTGAATGAACTACTACTGAGTTCACTTTAAAGTAAAAAATAAAGTGCATTACAAAAAAAAAACAAAATAAATAATCGATATTTCGATACAATAAAAAACGATCAAAATGATTTCCAATTTTATTCCACAGTGATTAGTGATTCAAAGAAAGTTTAATTTTGTGGATAAAGTTATAAAAAAAAAAAAATCTATTTATTACTTTATTTATAATTTTAATTTAAAATATTCTATATATATATACATGTATTAGTATATGCATATATTAGTTTAGTCAACTCAGAGTTGACCCGATGAATCTGTTGATTCAAAAGTGCGACATGGGTAAATGTCACAAATGATGAATCGATTTCTTACTTATGTTACTCTATTTTGTTAGTATCGTCTATAATAAGATTAATCAAACATTTTCAATTGAATTTATTCTTTCAATTGGTTGGTATTTTTGCTTATCCTCGTATCTTTCAAAAATTGAAACTTAGGGAAGTGCTTTATAAAACATATGTATAAAAAGAACATATTTCATTTAGCCTTTTCATGCCTACTATAACTAGTTATTTTGTTTTTCTACTAGCAGCTTTGACTATCACCTCAGCTCTCTATTTATCGGTCTGAGCAAGATACGACTTATTTGAAATTAATTAAATGAACATGAACAATTCATAAAAAAATCTTTCTATGGCAGTTCATATCTTCTACAGTTACTTAACGTATCAATTTCCAATTCTTTGTCATTGAGATTTATAGTCAATACAGATTATATTTAAGGATAAATTACCTCCCCTTTCCCCTTTCAAACAAATGAAATGATTGAAGTTTTTCTATTTGGAATCGTCTTAGGTCTAATTCCTATTACTTTGGCCGGATTATTCGTAACTGCATATTTACAATACAGACGTGGTGATCATTGGACCTTTGATTAATTAACATCTCTTTTTTGATTGACCTCCTACTTCCTTAATCCACGGGAGGTCAAATTTATATTGCTGTTCAATTATTTAAGTGTAATTTTCGACCTAACGCGATTAACAAAACACAGAATCACGCTCTGTAGGATTTGAACCTACGACATCGGGTTTTGGAGACCCACGTTCTACCGAACTGAACTAAGAGCGCCTTATTATCATTATCACAATAAAGATTTTGTGACCCCAATCATCTTGCATATATATCATAAAATTAAAGATTTATTATGTATGTCCAATTATCTCAATTGATCCCTCGTTATGCTCATAAGATAAGTAATAGGTAGGGATGACAGGATTTGAACCGGGCATTTTGTACCCAAAACAAACGCGCTACCCAAGCTGCGCGCTACATCCCTTTCATTGGTCTACAGTGTCATTGTAGAGAATCCTGTCTTGTTTTCCACATCTTTTACTTCCTCCATTGATATACAAAAATTCTCTTTCATTTCTTCTTTTGGTCTCATATATCATATAACAAACATATCATATATTAAAAGACTATATTATATAAAGTATGAAATAAATCTGAAACCTACCATAAAAAATTAATATGTTTTTTAGTAATTTCAGGTTAGAGAATATCTATTTTGTACCTTTTTAATTTTAATTAGGGACTCGCGTACAAATACAGGCGGTCAGTCATTAACCTACAAATTTATACACACCGCTTGTCATATATGTATACCATGTGTATTACAAATTACAATAAAATTACAATAACGAATAAGAAAGAGGAGTTTTTAAAATGCGAGATCTAAAAACATATCTCTCCGTGGCACCGGTAGTAAGTGCTTTATGGTTCGGGTCTTTGGCAGGTTTATTGATAGAGATCAATCGTTTTTTTCCGGATGCGTTGATATATTCCCCTTTTTTCATTTTAGTTATTGATATGAGAAGGGGGAAGAAGATTAGAGATACAATCAAATCTCTGTAACTAATCCCTACCCTTGCCTTCTTTTTTTCTTTGTTTTTTTTTTAGAATAACTTATTCTAAAAAAAAAAACAAAGAAAAAGCGGTTTCGCCCTCAGTGAAACTATGAACTCGGGCCCAGGCTCAAATTAAATTAATATTAATAATAGAGTGGAAATAAAAATGTGATGGTTGGGGCAACAATATCATACAAGATACTTAACTGAAAATACTGTACGGCAATTCTTAATTATAAATATAGTTAGAAATCATTATATTACTTATTATTACTATATTGATTGCAACGAAATCTTTCTTTTATAATTTGATTTCGAGTTACCTGCTTCTTTTTTTTTTTTTTTTTTTTTTTTTTTTTTTTTTTTTTTTTCCTTCTTTTTCTTCCGTTGTTCGGAAAATAAAGAATTGAAGTGAATCATAAACCAAAGGAGGTTCATGGCCAAGGGTAAAGATGTCCGAGTAACCGTTATTTTGGAATGTACCAGTTGTCTTCGAAATCGTGTTAATAAGGAATCAAGGGCATTTCCAGATATTACTCAAAAGAATCGCGACACAATACGCCCGGTCGATTGGAATTGAGAAAATTCTGTCCCTGTTGTTACAAACATACGATCATGGGGAGATAAAGAAAATAGATCGAACCGACCGCTCGTGTGTCAGTCTTCCAAGGAAGATGAAAAATTACATATTATATAACATATATTTATTTAAATATAAACAAACCCAATCCTATTTCGATCGGATCAAACATGATGTAGAATTAAGAAATAGGATTGGGATTTTCCGGATAAGGAATAAACAAACCATGGATAAATCCAAGCGAATCCTTCTTAAATCCAAGCGATCTTTTCGTAGGCGTTTGCCTCCGATCCAATCGGGGGATCGAATTGATTATAGAAACATGAGTTTAATTAGTCGATTTATTAGCGAACAAGGAAAAATATTATCTAGACGGGTAAATAGTTGACCTTAAAAACAACGATTAATTACTATTGCTATAAAACAAGCTCGTATTTTATCTCTGTTACCTTTTCTTAATAATGAGAAACAATTTGAAAGAAGCGAGTCAACGTCGAAAAAAAAAAAAAAAAAAAAAAAAAAAAAAAATTGGGATAGAAATTAAATATTTTTTTAACGTGTTTCTTCATTTTGATGACTTTATCATATTTTATCATACTAATTTCTACTCTACCTTCCCAGAGTTCATTCTCCAGGGAACTCCATTTAAACTATTCCAACGGATTCCTTCCAATCTCTTTATTTTATGATCTCATTGGAAATCATATAAAGACAACTCTTATTTAATATAGCTATTTGTGCAAGTATTTTACGATTAAGAAGCAACTGTCTCTTGTACAGATTGTGTATTAATTTGCTATAACTAAAGTATACTTTATTCTCGCGAATTACTGCATTTATCCGGGTGATCCACAAACGACGAAAATCTCTCTCTTTTGTCTACCTCTATCCCGATGAGCCGAAACCAAGGCTCTTATTTTCTGTTGAGTAATAGTACGAGTAAGTCTTGAATGAGCCCCTCGAAAGGTTGATGCAAATAAACGGATTTTTGTTCTACGTCTTCGAGCTATACCCTCGTTTAATTCTGGTCATTGAATAAATGAAACTTTGATGAATAACTAATCGATTTCCTTTCTTTCAGTTATTCTCTTCCCGTGTCCTAGTCTATTAATAACAAAACGGATTCTTCCAATGTATAAAATAAAAATTCCAATGGCTTTTGCTATTATAACCTTCCCGACCACGATTTTTTCTTTTTTTTCTAGGCATTTCACCTAAAAAAAAAAAAAATTGTATACTAGAAAAACACATAGTAAATAAAAAAGTAATAAATATAAATGGATATAGTGGGTTCCATCGTTTCTATGGTTACTTCTTAAACGGTGAGGTCTTCTCTATACACCGGAGCCCTTCTTTCTTTCATTTAATCAATGTTATTGTTAACTTGTACAGTTCAAACTCTTTGGCTCTACCCAAAATTATCCAGTACTAGGTCTTTCACAACGAGATCCACTTATACAGTAACGGTATTTAATTATGAAGATTAGCTGGGTAGCTGACCCTGTTAGTCCGTTCTTGCAAGAGTAAGGCAAAATTTTTCTGCTTTTTAAAAT